TTTTGTTTTTGTAATTATTTTTGTTTTGGTTTTTGTGTTTCTTTTATTTTGCTTAAAGACTAACAAATCTAATAAGTTTTCTAACCACTTTGTTTTGTAGAGTTAGTAAAACGTTTGTGGGTATCGTTTCTGTTAAACCCTCAGGAGACACAACTCCTCCTACTAGGGATGCCTAGAGGTTTAAAGGCTTGTTGCATACGCTCAATGCAATCGAGTTACCTACGAAAGTGGTCTAGTTAACTTCTTGTTTTGTTTTTAACTTTGTTTTGTGTTGTTTTGCTCGAGGACTAGCAAAATCTAGGTTTGGGGGTATTTGATCGGTTCATAATTGTATATCATTTTGTACCCTTCTAGCTTATGATTTGGTTATGTTTTTGAGTTAAACTTGTGCTTTGTTGCATTCCTAAGAGGACACAAATTAATGTGCAAACAACCAATTAAAAATACCCGCAAGTGCACGAATCTATAGAAGTATAGATTATGTAAGTACGGGGTCGATCCCACGAAGAACTTGTCGGCTTCCTATAAGTTCTAATTTGAGTACGTAAAGAACACTTAATTGACACACCACAAATGCACAAATGCAAATTTGAAACTAAAAATGAGTAAAGAAGTGTAAAAGAAATGAAACAACACAAGAAAACTAAACAAAAACACAAACAGCATTTTCTATCGCCATTTTATCACCACTTTATCACCTGTGTTTTTGAGCAGATTCGTTTCTCTGTTTTTCCAGTTTCGACCTCTGTCCAGTGTTTTGCCTATAACTTTCCAACCATTTATCCAAATTTCACGTTCTTTATACGGTTGGATTCAGCACACAAAAATGAAGAACACAAAGCAGACCAAAAGTCCAAAACAATTACGAAAATAAACAGAATTCAGCAAACAAGACACACAACGTATCAAACACACAACTCACACACACATTGGGGGGGGTTTTTTTGGTTTGGTTCAAGTGACCTATTTCTATTGCATGAAAGTAAATGGACTTTGAATTTAAATGAGAATGGCAGAGATAAATTATCAAGATTGGAATTAAAATGTAACAAACACTAGGGTTTCGCAATCCACCCTAAACAATTCTACCCAAGTTCATGAATACTCAAGTGATGAACTCTAAACGTGTTGATGAAGATGTTCGCAATCAAGACCATGGGTCGTGGCTCAAGACGCATTGATTCTCTCTAATATAAGTAAAGTGCATGGTTCGTGCTACAATACTCGTGCCCTCCTCATAACCGAACCTAGGTGTGGTTCGTACTTCGATTCAATTACAAGGAAAACCCATTAAGTTCAAAGAGAATATGAACATCATAAGAATCCTAATAGCATGGTGTTTACATTAGGTATTCAAGAAACCAATTCACATGGATGATTCTTACTTCATCCATTTATTGCTTAGGAGAACATGAAGATACACATAATCCCAACAATCTCAAGAAGCATGCTTGCAAAGATGGCCAACCAAGGAAAAACACACATCAAGGATAGATTAATTTGGTGAATTGGAATTCATCAACAATATCTAGAAATTCATACACTCAAGCATCAAAACAATAAGGTAATCATGTTTAGGGCTTCAACCTAAGCCCTAGCTATGGAGTTTAGTTGCTCATACTTATTCCAAATACAAACTCAAAATAAAATTAGAAAGAGTTTACAGATTTTGAGAAAATGTTGAAAGCTTCAAGGTCATCAATGGTGGAAGCTTTCTTCTCCACTTTGCTTGGTTGCACCTTGGCTTTCTCCTAGCTCCAAGCTCTCCAAAATCTGCTCTCCATGTGTAGAATGATGTAATGGTTGCAATGGCTGATGCTCTTTGGACTCCTCTCTCCTCCTTTCCAGCTTTTCCAAAATATCTTTTAATATAAAACAATTACTTTTGTTAAAGCCTTAAGCCTTGTCTCCTTGCCATGATGGGCTCTTTTGTTATTGTATTCACCAAGATGCTCTTTGTTTCAGATAATATCTCTCAACCAAAGTAATTTCTTGTTACCAAGTGTTATGGTAACAAGAATAATCAAGATGACACAATGGAGGTAAAAGCTGGCCAAATCCGGATTTCCAGAGCTGTGGTAACACGCTGGATGGGTTGGATAGGCAATACTTGTCCAATGGAGTTCAAATTTGGATATGTTGTAGTTAACATCCATTGGAACAAGTCTCATGAAGATCATGACCTCATCCGAGCACCAGAGCATGTTGATCCCAGGCCAAGAAGTTGACCTACGAAAATGAACAAAAACAAAGTATATAACCAATAATGCACTTTTAGCTCATTTTCATTCCAACCAAGGTAAAGTCTAACAAAACACAAAAAGGAAGTAAAAAGCTATAAAATGTCAAGAACTAACTCAAAATAGTGGGTGAATAACATGAAAAATCATGTGTAAAAATGAACCGAACATGCTTTTAATCCTTTTTGTGTTTATCTTTCAGCTTTAGGTAACAATGATGGCTTTATCCTTTTTGTGTTTATCTTTCAGTTCATTGAGCTTTAGGTAATAATGAGGGCTTTGGATAGTAAATGATGCAATCCATGCATGTTAGGGCCTAATTTGGATGAATGGATGAAGAGCTTAAAAGACAAACTCATTTTGGCTACAGCCCCCTCCCAGTCCAGTTCCGTAGGTCACATTGCAATATTTGTTTCAGCAACCTACACAGCTCGGATGAGGCCGAATTCTTCATGAAAGTTGTTCCAATGGGTGTGTACTATAACATATCCAAAATTCAGCCCCATTGGATAAATCTGGAGTGTGGTTTCTCTTCCTTCTCCAAGTTCACAAACATCCTCCAAGTTCTCAACCACTCTCTTCCAAAATCCACAAAGCTCTCAAAACACCTCTCCACTTTCTTCTCCCTCCTCAAAGTTCTCAAACATTTCCCTTCTCTCCCTCAAATTCTCTTAGTTTCCTTTGTAGTTCTCAATTGTTGTAATAAGATCATTCTACTAAATTTTCTTCTCCAAATCTCTCAAACACATTTCCCTTCTCTTCCAAAAGTCTCCATGTCTCAAACACTTCACAAACACATTTCTCTTCCTTCTCCAAGTTCACAAACATCCTCCAAGTTCTCAACCACTCTCTTCCAAAATCCACAAAGCTCTCAAAACACCTCTCCACTTTCTTCTCCCTCCTCAAAGTTCTCAAACATTTCCCTTCTCTCCCTCAAATTCTCTTAGTTTTGCTTTCTAGTTCTCAATTCTAGCTTTCTTTAATGTTTTCTTAGTTGTAATTTATTTTTCTTTGTTATGTAAATTCTTTTCTTTAGTTTCAAGTTTGATTAGTTTCCAAGTTTCAATTATGGTTTTTGTTCTTATTCATTATGCTTATAAGTTAATATGCTAGTTTGAATGATTGATCACCATTTAGGCTTGCATGTTAGCTATCTTGGTTTGAATTAAGAGTATACACCATGCTTTAATTCGAATTGAACTATGAATAGGAAGAGTATGTATGGACATTCGACAACAGGGATTAGATACATGCTTGGTTGTTTAAATTGTTCTTCTATGCTTAATGGGTTCCTAATGCTTAATTTTAGGTTAGACAACAAATGATCAAATTAGGGAATTAGGAACACAAGGTTATGACCAAACACCATGGCTTAATCATACTTTAGCTAGAATCAATCCGTTAATCTAATTGAACTTGGGAACTTATCTGCTTGAGTTAGTTATTTCTTTCTTCCTTGTTTTATTTATTTCCTTTCTTTTTCATTTCTGTTTTGTGTAGGGAAACTAAATTGGATCATTCAATCACCAATCCCTGTGGAATCGACCTCGCACTTACATACGCTAAACTACCAACGGTTCGTGCACTTGCGAGTATCACAAGTTGAGGATGCAACTGAATCCATTTTGATGCAGCTGTATCAACACAACACCTAGCCATGAGCTTTTCATAGCTATGGGAGATGTCTGCATTCTTGCGCTCAAGACGAAAGAAGGCATCTTTTCGGCTAACCAAATCAGCAGCAGAAGAGCTGAGCTCGGAATCCTTCTCAGCAAGAGAGCATTTCAACTCCGATATCGTCGCCCTCAAATCAGACGTCTCGGAAACCTTCTCAGCAAGAGAGCTTTTCAACTCCGATATCATCGCCCTCAAGTCAGACGACTTCTTCTCACAACGGGCCTGCTCGGCAGAAAGCTTACTGGCAAGTTCAACATTCTTCTTCTCCAGCTCGCTGAGCTGGACAGAAGAGGGGGAAACATCAGATGAGTTCCGAACAGTCTGAGCAGCAAAAATCAGTCCCTTTTGAATTAGGTGAAATGCCGCTCCCCTCTGATTTTCCAAGGAAAGACTCGAAAAGATGCCTAGATCACCAGCCTGACGGATATGATCAACCAACTCAGCACAGGAGGACGGGTTTGACAAGAAGTTCGTCTTGAGCAGATCAGACACACGTGCATCCCTTGCAGGACTAGACTTGTTCACCTTGAGATCAACTGCCGATACTGAAGAAGAACCTTTGGCCCGGGCATACGACTCTCTCATCTTCTTAGCCTCCGCCAACCTCGCCTGCAAAGAGGTCAATGATGTAGAAATGATGTAGACGACTTGAACAACTGGGTCACGATCAGATCTCCCGCTTCGATCCCCATCCTTCGACTGATGCGGACGACTTGAACTTCGAAGAGGGATATCTGCATCACTCTGACGCTCGGTAGAACGGGATCGGGCACGAACTACCTCACGAAGCAGATCATGATTTTCACCAACTTTCCTACCATCTGCGCTCGCGGGATGTGTGGCCCTGGTGGATGACGATGGAGCAGACCTTGCTTGAGTCTTCTCAGCAGAAGGGAGCCTTGGCTTCTTCCTCAAAGGAGACGCATCATCCTTCGCCCGTAAAGAAGTAGCTTCATGTCTTGAGGACGTAGCAGCAACCTTCCTTTTTGAAAGGGATTCGGCAGAGCACTCTTCTTGTCCGACAAGCAGATCATCAGGGTCAGGACCGCTCTCTTTCCATCTCTCGACATCCTTGGCAGGGGGCAGCCCACCGTCTTCCTCCCGGTACTCGCTCAACAGCCAGCGCCACTCACGAAACTTGGGGGGAATGCTCAAAGCACAACGAACCTTAGCCATGTCAGGTCCAAGCTTCAGTTGCTTGCTGATGCTACTCGCTACAAGCAGAAGACAGGAGTTAGTCAGCCATACTTCAAGAAACTCAAATAAAGAGCAGATCAAGAATCACAAAAGGGCATACCGTTGCAGTAGGTGATGGGGACAAGTGGGCTGTCACCGACATCGCCCTCCCACCGTCCGCTGACTTCCAACACATCATCATGCCACGCATGATCTCCCTGACTCAGACTGTCGAACAGCTTGGCCTTGTAGATGCGAACTTGGGCATAGTCCTCGAAACGCCTCACTTGAAAAAAATAGAAGAATTCCCGCACTGTCAGCTCCAGCGTGAAGAAACGACTCAGGTTCTCGAAACACTTTATCGCCCGGTAGACATTCGGGGTACACTGACTTGGAGCACACTCCATGGCGCAGAACACCTCCTTGAAAAGCCTTGACAATGGGAAGGTGAAGCCCAAGGAAAAATAAAAAGGACGGAAGGTGATGATCCTAGCAGTTGGGTCGCTCGCATCCGCACGAGGCGTGTTGTCAGCCCGAGACTTCACTAGTTTGACCTGCACGTCATCTGGAATGGCAGAAGCGTAAGCAGCCCGCCACTTTTGGAACTGAGCTTCAGTCGTCACACGGTGCAGGTTAGCCACAAACCTCTTGTTGTGCACTAAGGAGCCTCCCCACAAATACAGAGGCGCTTCAGAGCTTGGAACTTTGCCATCATCTCCAGAAGACATGATCAACGGGCAACTGCAAGAAGAAAAGAAAATTCTACAAGTTAGAATACAAAAAAACAGCAGCAGCAGCAAATAAAAAAATAATATAATAATTCAGGCTGCTTGGACCAGCCCAAGCTGAAAGGGTGCAGCCCCTCAAGTTCTCCAGCGCAGGCCCAAGGCGCTCCAGCATGCAGCCCAGCAGTCGTCGCGGCCCACCTTGCACCTCCAGCCCAACGCGTGTCCAGCAAGGCCCGCTCCGCATGCGAAGGCCCAGCGCGCGCCAACTTCAGCGCAAGGCCCAGCGCCTTATCGCCCCAACTCGAGCCCACCTCGCACACCAGGCCTGGCGCCCTCCTGCCTCCACTTCAAGCCTAGCGCACGCAGGCTTGTACCAGCCAGCCCTTCCACGCTCCTTCCAAACCTCCAAGCAGCCTCGTGCCACCCTCCAAGCCAATCACGCACCCCTTGCAGCTCCATTAAGGCACGGTCCAAGCTTCCAGAAGTCAAAGACACAAAAAATTTTCCATGCTAATTACCTTGGATATGCAACGAGGACAAGGACTCAAGTATGCTGAATAATTCCTCAAGGCTATCTCTCTCTCACTAACGAAGTTGAAGGGATGGATTTCTGATATGAAGGATAAATTGGAGGAGCCCTACATTTATAAGGATAAAAAATTCCTTGACCTACAAGGAATCGCAAATCCTTCCCAAAATTGGAGTTCATAAAATTGGCAAGTCAAACACCTCCTCTACTCAGGAGCCCAGGTCCACGCAGAAAGCCCAGTTACAGCTGGACAGCCCAACAGATGATTTGTAAACCTAGGTCAAATAATTCCTTCCATTTGGGGATTATTTGACCTAATTAGGAATTATTCAATTTAATTGGGGGTTACCCAATTAAATAGAATATGACCTAATTAGGTTGAGGATTGATTTGATTCCTACGAATATTCTCAATTAATGGAGAAGTTACCTAATTAAATTAGGTATTGATTTGATTGCTATCCTGATTAGGGATTTGATTTAAATCAAATAAATCAAATCCCTAATTAGCCAAATCTCGCCAAATTGGGGAGGAATAATTCCCTTCCATCTACGGAATTATTCCTCTGAAACCCTAGCTCCCGAGACCTCTATAAAAGGATGGCCACACACAAGGGTTGAGGTATGTCTAAACTCCTACTGAAACTCTGCAGAAATTATCTCTCAGAAACCCTAGCCACCTCCTTTCTCTCCCTCTTTTACATAAGGCTCCGGCCGCCCGGTTTATCCCAAGAAAAACACACATAACTCCGTACCCTAATTAGCTAGTGTTTTCTTTACAAAACTCTTGAACTAATTTAGGCATCGGAGGGCCTTTGGCCAACACCCCCCGGGTGTGGTCCTCGTATTGCTATTTGTTTTGCAGGGAGAAAGAGAGGCGGAGAAGACGAAGGAATCTTTAGGCGAATATTCTCGTGGGAGGAAATTTGCTCCCACACCACCACCTGTGTGTAACCCAACCACCACCCCAACCACCCAAGCCCACCCAAACCCCTACACCACCATCACTGCCGCCATTGTTGGTGGTGGTGATGGTGGTTCCCGAAGGATTAATGGCGAAAACTTGAGTTCCTTTACACCCATCCATGATCTTCAAACTACGAATTGTAGTAAATATGTTGTTTTGCATTTTCAAAGTACAATACTATCAAACTTCTCAACTCTAAAATCAAACAAAAAGAATTTGAAATTTTGAAAAATCTAAGAATTAAATATTAAAAATATATACCTAATGCCCAGCATCTTTTCTATTTTTTTTTCCCGAGAAAATGGAGAGAGTGGGGAGGGAGGGTTATTATTGTTTGGGGAAAGAGAAAGAGAGGAATGAGAGAGGAATGATGGATTAATTGAGATGAAATTTCACCCAACGACTTCCCTGGAATGTCCTCCCACGGGGAGGGTGTGGACCCACCGAGGGTGAACTTGAATCGGAGGCTGTCGGAGTCCCATGACTGATTTGTGAATGGGGACATCTGATTTGGGAGGGCTTATATTTGTATTGGTTATTTTTTTTTAAATGAATTTTTTAACAATTATGGAAGGAATTGCCCCTCCACAAGTAAGGGAAGTTATAAAAATTTGACAGAAATTGAGGTATGTCCTTGAATCGCTTCAAATTAAAACCAAATTGACCAAATTGACCAAATTAAAACGACAGGGAACAAAGTAGTAAAAGTAGCAAACTACAAGCACCAAAAGTGATTTTTTGCCCTTTTCGTTTGTCCAACCCCTAACCTTTCGAACGAAAATCGAAGCTGCTTGTTTGCCTCGGGTCAAGGGGAATTCAACTGTGGTGGGGCTTGATGACAGGACCCGACCCAAATTCCACTTTGGAATCCGAGCCAAACCCTGTTCGTGTCCGACACCTGGCAAGTGCCGAGCACAAATGACCTAATTGCCCATCTAGTCAAAATTCAACAACAACTGGGGTTTGACTTTTGCCGAAAAACTCAGCAGAGTCTCCCCTGAAATGGACCAATCCCAAGATTACACCTGTCAAACATGCATATAAAAATATACACCAACTGCCAGCATACAAAAGATTTACATACTAACAGTTAGACAAGTGTTCTAGGGCAATATCAGAGCTCTATACAGATTAGATTACAGGTATAAAATAGTTATACAAGGCCCTACGTTATCAAGGGATGTGTCAGAAGCTGGACTCGGCCCGGTGGTGGCGCACTGACGCACAACTACTGCCTGGGGGCGCAAAACATTAAAAGGGTGAGTGGACCAAAAACAAAGTTTAGAAAATAGCATATGAACATACTAACCCCTCTGTAAAAACTGTAATAAAACTAAATCATATCTTAAATATATACTCGTACTAGAATCAATGCATTCATATTTATATCTATAAATATAGAGTCAATCATACACGTAATCAAACATTAAGTCTGATATAAATATACGTATATATATATATATATATATATATATATATAAACAATAACACACTTGATTAAAACATTAAATCCTTGAAAGCATTGAAATCAACTTTAAATCTACCACCTAGGTGTATCCATTTATTATTCCGTCAATTCCTTATAATCCGTCAATTCCTTTAATTGCCGTCAATTCCTTTAGTTTCCGTCAATTCCATCCTCGTGCCACCAGAGTGACACGTCCTAGTAGACCTCGAGAAACACAAAGTCACCCGAGCCGCAATCCTAGCAGAATTCAGGGGACACTTGGTCGGCCTGGTCCGCAATCCTAGCTAGACTCAGGGAACACTGGGCCCACCTAATCTGCACTCCTAGCACCACACGGTTCGAGCGTCCCCGAGACTCGTGGGGCTGTGTCAAGCATGCTGACCTACCCGAAGGCAACTGGATGTCCGTCGACATCATTATAACCGAAGGCAACTGGATGTCCGTAGACAACGTTATAACTGAAGGCAACCATTTAAATCCGAAGGCAACATGTTTATCGAAGGCAACCTTAATTACTCTTGGGTATCTATGGTGGTTTCTAAAAATATAAATATATATGAAATTCTAAAAAGATTTAATAAATATAAGAATTCTTGTTTAACTTAAAACTCTGCCGTCATTTATCCTGATATTTAATTAGAATTTCCTTTTTCCTATATCCTTTAAGGATATCCCACTCGGCAGCAAATGAGTTAAAGTATTTAAAAGCGGAAGTTAAAACTATGTAGCTCTAATAGTTGAATAAAACTTATTCAAGATCAAATAATGAAAATAAATTGTATAAACCATTTATAAAACAAAAAGTCCACTCACAGATACTTTGAGCTAGCTGGACCCTTTGAAGGTCCCTCCTGCGGGTCACTTGGTCCCCGGGTACCTGTATAACCATCATAATATTTTATTAAAAACTCTGCTCAGTAATATAATATTAAATTAAAAACCCTGACCCCCGGCTCCTAAAAGTACGTGCCTCACTTTAAAGGTCATTCCTATGCCCATATTAACTTCCCTCTCAAAGGGCATGACTTAGAAATAACTCAGGACTCAAAAGCGATAAAGTCCCCAAAAGCCAACTCGGGACCCCGTGGGGTCCACGACCTCAGAATTTCGATCCGATTGTTCCTAGAGGTTCCGATAAGCCTAGGACACATGTCCCGAGAGTTTGGTCTCGATCGGATGGTCGGATTGCTCACGATCGCCCGATCGGACTGACGAACGATTTTCCAAAAACCTAGCCCTAGGGTTGGCTTTTCCGGAGCATCTGGGACTCCGATTTATGATCCGTTTAATCCTACACAATCCTTAAAATACCTAGATAAACATACTCCAGTTTGGCTATGATCCAACGGTCCGAACATATTGAACCCGGAAATCGCACACTATGCGAGATCCGTTCGGGGTTCAAACGTTATCCGAATTGAGATCCGCGAAATCCTACGCGCTCGTGAGGACACGAGGATTATTCTAGGATCAAGAGTGGCTCCTGTTACCTGACCCACGCACCGCCCACGCGCCGGCAGCGCGTGGGTGTGCATAGTAAATTCCGGTGGCCGGAAAATCTCCAAACCGTCGGCCCAAACTCCTAGCCTAGGTAATACACCCTATTTGGAACCACTTTTGTTTTTGGACGCAAAACCGGCAGTAACTCAACTCGTAAATCAACCAGTAAAACTTCAAAATCTCTGAAAACCTACCCAACCAACAGCTAGAGCATGAAAATCAGTCGAAAAACCATACCTAATTCGTCCGATTCGGTGACCGGAGGAGGGAGAACGAGGATTTGAAAATTCAGAGAAAATCTGGCGCGATTTTCTGGTTTTTTTTTTTTTTCTGGC